ACTTCATCAACGAGATCGGTAACACATCATACTAATATTATAAATGCGAAAGTTTAGATGGATGGATGTTTATTAGAGTTTGTAACCTAAACTGCTGAACGGATCTCGATGAAATTTGGCGTAAATTTAGTGGATAGTCTGGAAGACCATATAGGCTTATTTTTTTTTAGTTCCATGCGGAAAGAGTCTAGTAGTCTAAAGCTAGTTGTAAATTAGAAATGTAATTAATAAATTAATTGACAGAGATGTAGCTTTTATACCCCTTAAATGTTTTTTTTTTCAGAGAAGATAACAGCGGATGATATAGTGCGTATCGCGAGCTCGATGTTGAGCAAGCGCGTGTCGGTGGCGGCGCGCGGCAAGCTCACACACCTGCCCTCGCTGGAGGACATCCAGGCGAACATGTCCCTGAACAATACTGATACATCCCCGCAGGGACGACGCCTCAACTTATTCCGCGCTTAACTACATTTAATTTTAATTAATTTCGGCTGATTGTTTAGAAATAAAATAATTTTATTCGCTCCATTGAGTTTATATTTTTTCTATTTATCTAGTATACAAATATTGCCTACGTTCAGCAGCGGACGACCTAAGGCTGTTAATGAGATGAGTATACAAATATTGTTAGGTAGGATGTTACCAATCACAACATATTTTTGAATATTTTTTTATAAAATGCCCTACACTAACGACACGCTATAGGTTATGTATTTTCACGATAGTAAAGGGGTTAATAAATAGGAAATAATAACATCCAACATAGGGAGAAAAACTGCAAGCCAATACCAGCAGTTTGCCATGGTAATGGTAATTGTGAGCAATGCCAAAAGATCTTCGTTATCATTTGTGCATTTAAATTTTGTCATTTTCAAAGAAATTTAAAAATGTATAGACTAGGCATAGTGAACAAAATTTTTTCACCGTTAATTTCTCTGACATTGTCAGTTCTCAAGTTTAGTACGACACCTTGTATCCTTGTATTGACATTTTACAAAATTATAATAAGCTCCATCTTTTGTTACAAAATGAAATGTAAACATTTGTATGTTAATTAATAACACTTTTTGGTAATTAATTTAAATAGCATTAAATATTGATATGTGATTTCGAGGATCTAGCAATAGAAGCGGTAGTGAGATATGCAGACATTTAAAAATTCAGAGAAAGCAGACTAAGCATAGAATCGCTAACCCCATCTAATGATATCTTGAAAGCCATAATTGTCATTAAACTGTAACTAAATTTTAAAGTTACTTTTATTTTACAAACATTTAGTTTATTCAATAACCAAAAGATGGAGCTAAATATAATTTTGTAAAATGTATTATTATATGTGAATACCATGACACGAGTGGAGTACTAAAATTTGGGTTACGGGCGGGATGATTTTTGTGTACTGTGTAGGACTTACTGTAAAAACCTATTGAAATTAAAACATCAGAGTAACGATAAATATTTTTATTGTTATATACAATGTCTTATTACTAATAAAAATGTCTATGGCAAGTAAATATGACAAAAGAATTTTTATTATGATGAATTATTAGTAACAATAAATTCAGTCTCATCAGATAACTATTGAGTATAAAGTTGGAATCACTGTTATACATAAACAATAATAAAAAACAGAAATATATAAGAAATTACCATTTTTTTTTTATTAATTAAAACCGTCCCATTAAGAAGCTGTCAATTGTGCTTAATATTAAATTATTTGATTTTGATAGAATTATTGTGCCAATTTAACCACGGCTTTAGCCGCTTCGTCCGCGTCATTTATTATCTTAAAGGGTAGTCCGGACTCTTCGAGTATTGTTTTAGCAGCCGTTGCATTTGTGCCTTCCAATCTAATAACTAGCGGGTACTTTGGAGGGCTTTGTTTGCACGCCGCGACTATACCATTTGCAACTGTTGCACAATTAACAATACCTGAAATTAAATTCAAGAATAATTTAGTTTTAAACTGTAAATTAGCAGATGTCAAGGTACAAGTCTCGTTAAAACAGGCCAACCCATTCCGGAAATTATCCAAAACAAACCATAATGACATAAAAAAAAGGTTTTTTTATTTGACAATGTCACAATCATACTTACCAGCGAACACATTAACAAATATCGCTTTTACTTTAGGGTCAGACTCCAAAATTCTCAATGCTGCCGACACCTGGGCTTGTCCTACTCCTCCACCGAGGTCTAGAAAGTTCGCTGGCCTTCCTCCACTCAACATGATCAGGTCCATCGTCGCCATTGCAAGCCCTGCACCATTCACCATACACCCG